AACAACAAGGTTTACAGCGTATGTGCTCGAGACTCCATCTCTATGGAAACTAAAATGCAATCGCTAAAATGCAAGCACGCGCAACCCAGACAGCAACATACTGTAGTGTCGGCCCGGTTCCGGCCCACATCTGGTACGCATGGATGTACAAGATGTGCCCCGGATCTGGGCCGACACTATGTCGCTGTTTAGGAAATGAGCTTCTCTACAACTTATTGTGAAATTGACTTCTTTATATTTGGTATTAGTATTCTTCACACTGCAAAATCCTCATGTATTTATTCAACTACTTAAAATAGAGGGCAAATCACATCCCATATTGATTTGATACGAGACACACCATTTTACCTGTAAATAAGGGACAGTTACATATTTTACAGGCCATCCTACATCCAGGTATCAACCCTGGCCCTCAACAAATATATATTTTTGATCAGTTTTCTTAAGTTCAAAATCACTTTCATTGGTTGGTGCGTACTGCTTAATGTTTTCCACGCATCAAAAAACGGGAAAGCTCTAATAAAAATATGTTTATATTGCCCAAATGTCTAAAATACAGTCAAGAACATTTTCTTTTCCTGAGTAAAGCTGGTGTTTCTGATTAAAAGAGATCCAGAGAAGATGAAACTCCATACCTGGATTGCACTAACACTAATCAGGATAGCGGGAGACACGAGCAACGAATCTTTGAGCAGTCAGAAATCTACAGTTGAATATTCAATGTTGGTTGCTTTGTGTTATTTGCAGCATGTGACATATTTTTCAACGGCAAGACAATCCCAGAATGCATTTCTATTCACCTCCATTCATCTGATGTCCCTGGTTAATCCTGTCATCAGCTTTCTAATTGCATGTAATGCTTCCAGTGTTTTAGCTTTAATGTGTTTAGTCTACTGAAGGCATACAGGGAGCATGAAAGCTAATGTAGCATTAGCTTTCATTCGTGTTAATGTGATTTCAGAAGCAAATGACTTCATGTCTCCATTCCAACAACCCTGATTCCCAGAATCCTCCGCACAATCACAATTCTTGAGCTTTGATCTGCACAAATACAGTATATGACACTACACGTGAGTGATGTCATTTCACACTGCTCAGGTTAACAAAAGTGTTTTTTTTTTTCCTTTTCTCTCCATATTAATACAGTTCAATATTTCCAGAATGACACATTGTTCCACATGAAGACGAAGCAAAAGGCGTGAAATTACTGATAACGTTGTCCACATTAATGCAACACGAAAGTCAACAATGGCGACGGTGTCCTCTAACTGTTTAACCACTGAGTCGATTACAAAAAAATTGACATATAATTTGATATGTTATTTTTTTTTTGGACTGCTCACAATTCAGCACAAAACAGCAAAGAAAAGGGGAGAGATGGCTAGTAAAATCAATTAAATACAGAGACGTTTATTAATAAGCTGTTTTCCTCATTAGGACCAAAAATGTATCCACAAGGACAAGGATTCCAGAAATTGCCATCCTTGTGGGGTTGTTTAACTTTTTGCCTGCTGTGGTTGTTTTAATTCACATCCTTTCTAAAAATATGAGAGTTTTTGGTTTTTAATATATTCTGACTGTCTATCTAATTTCAATTTTATTTGTTCATTGTTTATTTTGTTTGATTGTAGTTGAAATTGGTCAGAACTGTTTCTAAAATAGTTATCTGCATGATGCCTGCTGCCTTTGGGCTCAGTGATGTTAAAAATAATAAATAATAAATAAAATGCTTTCTTAAAAAGGCAAAAGAACACATGCACTAAATTGCACGAAATTGAAATTAAGTGTACATTTTTTTTTTTTTTAATTTTTAGTGAAGGGATATACCTGTTAGTGTTTAAATATGTTTGACATTTAAAAGAGATTATGTAATGTTGAAGTTGTTGTGGTTGCCATTGTGCTGCAGTTACTCTTATTCCACGAAAACTTCAGCATGACTTCAAACATGATGGTAAACACTACATTGACTCTATCCGCAAGTTTCCGAGGGGCGCTCCTGTAAAAAATAAAGTGGGTGAAACTTCCGGTGACGCGGCGGAAGTAGCATTCCAATGGTATTTTGTGTGTTAGTTAGCGAAGAGGCTAGCTGTTTTTCGGAGAATTATTTTACTATTTAAAGACGCAAATCTTTATGAGAGATGTCGTTACGGAACTCAGGGGCAACATGTGCTGTTCGCGGTTGTATGTATAACCGGACTAAACTAATTAAGTGGCTTAAACGTGATTGTTTTGAACATAAGCTGAAAACGAAATCAGAGTGATCCTGCCAGAGCCCGTCTCTGATCCTGCCAACGACTGTAGTTTCCATCACCTCCCAAAAGACGACGAATCTTCCTGTGTACATTTGTTTAAATTCTTAATATTCTATAAACTCTATCAGCATGTGTTTGGCTGTTCGCTACTGATGTTACACCTAAACTCAGGATCAAGCCTGTGTTGACAGAATACCAAATGTGCCAGTTAATGTATTCAAGTAGCACATTCATTTATAATTTTGAATAAACTCCGACCAAAGCACAATGACTAAGTGTGTATTTTTTATTTTAATTGTTTGTCAGCTCACACAACTGTCTGTCACCATGCCTTGATGAGTATTGATTATTAATAATGTTATTATAATACTCCCAAATCAACTACTGCGGAGGGTAAAGGTACTGTTATTTCACCCTTTTTAATTTCGTTGAGGTTGTGTTCCCACATCGTTAGCTAGTTTGGATCGCTATAACTTGAATGACTGTCAACTGTTGAATGAACAAGCGTCAAGCATGTCAAATCGCGCTTTGTTTACTTTCAACCGGAAGTCGCGCCCACTTTTGACGCAAGGCCTCATGGGGCGTAGGAAACTTGTGGATAAAGCGACGCTTATAACTATCAGAGTTGCTAATGCCAGTGACAAATAAAATTTTACTTGTTTATTAAATATACATGCTAAATAAGTTGTGTTAGCATGTGTTATGATAGCTGTTGATATGAACTTAAATAGATAAGATTACTGTAATTGGTTCCAGGGCTACAACTCTGGTGGTTGGAGCGACTTAATTTATTTGAGTAATCAACTTAAAAACGTGTGTTTAAACTACAAATTAGTAAGTTCATCTTACTAACGGAAATTTAGCTTGTTGGCTGAATGTATATTCACTCAAATTCAAATTCACTCACTGTCATACCTAAAAAAACAAAATGTATGCACACTGTTGCGTACATATTTGTTTTTCTTGTTGAGCAAAACTACATCAATTGGACAGGGTTCCCTTTGCACAGAAAGATGGTGCCAAATACTGACATTCTATGAACAGACCGTAGGAAATGGTCCTCAATTTCCAACCCTAGAAGTAAAGCTTTTTGGGTCTGTGCTCTGTGGATTATCCTGTGGGTGAACTGACCTCCACAGACTGAAGGACACAGCATGTCTCGGCACATATGACAATTGTGCTGAGACCTTGAAGACTCCAGCAGATTAAACTGATTGAAATTTCATTTGTCTCTTTTCTACCTCTCTCTTTTTTACCTCTCTCTTTCTCTTCCCCTCTGGTGGACTGTGTCCTGCTTTTGTACACTTATATCAGGAAAAAAAATACTTATGAAGCATAGCAGCTGTACAGCTGCTTTGGAACAATATACTGTATTTCGTGAAAAGCACTACAACATTAAAACGAACTTGACTTGGAATTTAGGATGCAACTACGGGTGTATTCTGAGGAATTGTTTGTTTTCTCAAAAACCATGCATCTGATCAATCTGAAAAGTGATAGCACATCTTCTCAACAAGCCACATGTATGGTGTACATATTAGGACTTCCTTAGACATTATAAAAGGTTTTCAGGTCACAGGAAAAAAAAAAAAGTCAGGTGTTAGAGGCATCTGTCGAACCAGAAATATGTAATTCATAAATATGCTTTTACACAGTTTACAAGAAAAAAGCTGCCACACAATACACTGCTAAACTGCTAATACCTTGACCACCATAGATATTGAGGTGGACAAATTGGTAAATATCAATATATATATATATATATATATATATATATATATATACACACACACACCAAATTCTCAATTTTTTTAGGTGACTGTTTTGAAACTCTTCACAGTGTAATTTAAACTGTAATATAAACATAGACTCTATAAATATACTTTGGTTATATAAACAGTAGAGGATGTCATTCTTGCTTTGTAAAGAAACTTTTACAAAAGCAAACATTTTATGATTGTATAGTGCATTTTGAATGTGAAATAAACTGCAGTGCTAGGCTAAACAAATTGGTTTGGAGAACTGTGTGAAGAGTAGCAGAATAATAACTATATAAAATGCGAACAAATGTGCCTCAATTTCTGATATAAATCCACAGATATTATAAAGTAGCAATTTTTCTTGGTTCATTAAAATTTATATGTGCAGTGCTTCTTATGCCAACAACAATGTCATTTCCATTTATTAATTTCATTGTTGAATGCCTCTTCTTTTCTTATATTATTAGAAATATATCACAAATAATAATAATAATGATAAAAAACAGCTGTATTTCTGTATTTTGCAGAGCCTTTTTCGTGTAATAAACTTTTAAATGAAACTTCTTTTCCAAATCTCTTGTCCTATGTAGGAAGGCTGGAGCTTAAGTTTATCAGCATTTCAGGCTCCGGCAGGGAAACACTGGATGGTTAATGAATGACACGTTTCTTACTGTATTTTTTTTTTTTTTTTACTGATAACGTTTCATCCGCCTTTATATCTTAGGCTGTTTCATCTGCAATGGGATGGCTTTGCATTTATGCTCTTGGTCTTTTACAAGAAACTTATTAGAAACATTTATTACACAATCATGTTATCTTATTGTACATGATTACAATACATAAGAGAATATCTGGCAGCAATTATACCATGCACATCATGGTCATTTTTTTAGAGGTTTGCAAAAAAAAAAAAGAGAGAGAGAGAGACTGGTACTGTATGTAATAGTTTTAAGGGTAGTACAGTGCATATCCCCAGATATGATCTTACCATCTACGCAGGCCGGCCTGGCTCTCGTTGTCCCAGCAATCTGTCCTTTCTTACATGCGCAGCGGGCCGTCTGTCTGGCAATAGTTCTGCGTGGCTGACTGCTGTCTCTGTCTAGAGTAACAATCTCACATGTGCCTGCTGCCAGTTGACCTGCAGGACATAACCAGAGATAGAAGAAGGGTTCAGAGGGGAACGTTGTGAAAAATTACCATAGCAGTTTCCGGACTTATTCAGGTTGTTTTTTTCATACACTGTAAAAATAAAATAAAAATAAAAACAGTAAAAGTACTGGCAACTTATTACCCGCATATTAATTTTATGGACATTTAACCCTAAAACAATGCAATGAAGTTCCAAATTAAAAATAGAGGTAACACCTGTCAAGGTTAAACACAAAATATTTAGTCAAATTAATACATTGTGCCCTATTTTAAAGATTTATTTTTGGTGGATTTATAAGATTTATTTTTGGATTTTATCTTTTGTTTGCCTTTATTGTGATAGGATAGAATAAATAGGACAAAGTGAGGGGGGACGAGATTGGGAAAGGTCCACAAGCCAGTATTCGAACTCGCGTCACACGCCATATATCAGTTTCGACCATTGTTCCCTAAGTTTGTTTTTTTTTAGTTACAATGGGGTTTTCAGTTATGTATGGACAACGCATTCTCACCCCAAGGCGTCACCTTTGACCATGCTTCAATATTTGACGTTTTAGGCGCCCTTTAGCGTCACTCACATGACGCGATCCTACGGCGTCATCTAACTGACGCCAAAGGAAAGCGTCTGTTAGAGGACGCGGTTAGGTTTAGGTGTGGGGTGGGGGTAGGGTACACGCGATCCTAGGGCGTCATCTTTCTGACGCTAAAGGGCGCCTAAAGCGTCAGATATTGAAGCATGTCCAAATGCTTCCCAAGGCGTCAGTTAAGTGACGCCTTGGGGGTGAGAATGGGCTGGTATGGAAGCTTGTTTCCGCCACTGAATAAAAAAATATAATAAATAATTGTGACTTTTTATCTCACAATTCTGACTTTTTTTCTCACAATTGCGAGTTTATATCTCACAATTCTGACTTTATTTTTCTCAGAATTGCGTGATATAAAGTCGCAATTGCGAGTTGTAAAGTCAGAATTGTGTGTTAAAAAGTCAGAATTGCGAGATATAAAGTCAGAATTGCGAGATATAAAGTCAGAATTGCGTGATATAAAGTCGCAAATCTGAGAAAAAAAGACAGAAGTGTGACTTTTTTTCTCACAATTGTGAGTTTACATCTCGCAATTCTGACTTTATAACACATAATTGCGAGTTTATATGTCGAAATTCTGACATCTTTTCTCAGAATTGTGAGATATAAACTCGCAATTGCGACTTATTAGGCCAATTCTAAGGGGGAAAAAAGACTAACTTTTTTTCCCCCTCAGAATAGTTTAAATCTCACAATTCTGACTTTATATCATGCATTTCTGACTTTATAACACGCAATTGCGACTTTATATCTCGCAATTCTGACTTTATAACTCGCAATTTTGACTTTATATCTTGCAATTCTGACTTTATAACTCGCAATTCTGACTTCATATCTCGCAATTCTGACTTTATATCACGCAATTCTGACTTTATATCTTGCAATTCTGACTATATAACTCGCAATTTTGACTTTATATCTTGCAATTCTGACTTCATATCTCGCAATTCTGACTTTATATCTCGCAATTCTGACTTTATATCACGCAATTCTGACTTTATATCTCGCAATTCTGACTTTATATCTCGCAATTCTGACTTTCCATCTTGCAATTCTGAGAAATAACGTCAGAATTGCGAGAAGTAAACTCACAATTGTGAGAAAAAAAGTCAGAATTGTGAGATAAAAAGTCGCAATTACCTTTTATATTTTTCATTCTATGGCGGAAACAAGCTTCCATAGTTATGCTTAGGTATCAACTTTTATTAAAAATTATCTTAAAAATCCCTAAAAAAATACAGTCAAATGAGACAACTGTAGACATGCAATAAGAGTAATGTCATTTGGGCAGCATATAGCTCAAATAATTTGAATTTGAAATGTTTGATTTAATGGATAGAAGGATGGATGGATGGATTCAATTATGCCATGAAGTACACTTGGCGATTGGATATTCCATGAAAACCATTCAAGAAATAACATGGTGTCTTGTATTTTTTTAAGCAATTTCAAGCAAACCTAATTTAGAAAAAATAAAAAAGTAAAACCTGCTTCAAAATAAATAAATAAATAGCATTTATTGCCCATAACTCACGTAAAATAATATAAATCAAAAACCCAACTTCAAAACATTTCTAAGCTTCAGTTAGGCCCTCAGATTAACCTGTCTGTGAAGCTGGTCTACAGGGAATCTGCTTCCTGCTCCAGAGTTCTGATTGGCAGTAAGTCAAAGCTGTGATTTAAACTGACCCAGAGTCAGCATGCTGAGGTAAAACAGGGTTAATCAACTTAACGCACAGGTCGCATTCAGGCTAATTGAGGATCTTAAGATACACAGCTGAGACTGTGTTAGCCACACCAAATGTCTCTCTCTCTCTCTCTCTCTCTCTCTCTCTCTCTCTCTCTGTGTGTGTGTGTGTGGTCAAAGGTTAAACAACATCAAGCTTAACAAGATGTTTGTGTGGAATTTATTCAACCTTTAGCCTAAAGATTGAAGAGTGTGTGAGTTGGATTATGTAAAAATCCATTAGTCAGTATGTTTGCTGTCTAGATGAGACTTCTTAAGCTCTGCAGGTGATAAGAAAAACAACTTCCTGATATTTCATAATTTAGCTGCTGTATCTGTTCACAAAGCCACAGAACTGATAGGTGGTTTTCACGACGTTTATTACTTTAAAATTCAAGTACACATAGGGCCCTAATTTAACGGTCTAAAGCACAGGATGCAAGTACACTTAGGTTGTGTCCGAATCCACTTTTGCTAGATTAACTACAGAAAAAATGGTCGGCGCTCCCGGCGCATTGTCTAAAAGGGTTGTCCCTATTCTCTTAATGAGTAATGGGTGTGTTCTGGGCGTAACGTCATCTCCCATTCTCTTTAAAAGCCAGTTGCGTTCACGCCATGGCGGATTCGCTATTTACTGTACATGGCCAGATTTGCAAGCGGAAAAATGTAATACTTCTCTAGAGAGGAAACAGATCTGCTTGTGGACGAGGTTAAAGCACGCAAGAAGAACATCTCCAGGACAAAGGTGTTGTGGACCCGCCTATAGGCAAACATTCCTAATGTGGACTTTAAATAACAAAAAAACATATACTGCACCATTGACTTTAGACCAGGTTTCATTTGGCCAACAATGGCACAGTCTATTTCAGCTGTCTCAAAATAGGAAAATGGGCACAAAAGTATTTGCTCTTTACCTTCTATATAAAACTAAAACAACATGGACGTGAACATGAAAACTGCATCAGGGCCGAAGCTAGCAAAAAACTTGAACTTTGAACAAACATCAATGTTATTTTATTTATTTCCTCTGTTAATTGCAGACCCTTCTGGAAGCAAAGTGAGCTGTGTGAAACGCAAATTTTCCGTTGTGTAAGTTTTCTTCCTTCCGCTGATTTCCATTCCCCTCAAACCATAAAAAGTGTGAAAGAATGCTTTGAAACAAAAATCTCTAGAATAAACTTGACCTATGTTGAAAAGACAATGTTCTCTCCTTTCTAGATTGTCTCTTATATGATAAAAGCTATTTCCTTATTTCTCTTTGCATCAAATCTCATTTCATTTATATTCTTCCATTCCTCCAAGCTTCTGGATGATGTTGGATAATGATATGTCATATGTGCGTAGCAGCGGGAAATCTATCTTTCTCTTTAACAGTCATTTCTGCAGAGATTGCATTTGTCTGCCAGATCTGAAAATCCCCAACAGGAACTGCAAAAAAAACCCTTTCCCTTCATTGCTATACGCATATCAAGATACGAAGCCCTTTTGATAATCTCCTTTTTGTCAGCAATTCATCCACTGAATAACATTCTTCTGCTTTTTGTCCTAGTTTAAACTACATTTTTGTTATCCTGTCCTCCTCTGGTATTGAATTAATATAATATTTCAACATTCTTTTAGAGTTGCTTTTCCATATATCTTTAAAGGGCTCACATTTTTCTCAATCTTTTGTGAAAGAGTTTGAGTAATATGGAAACCTTCTGTAGCTTTTATTGGCTGCAATTCCTATCATTGAGATGTAGTTATGATGCTTTATTCTTGAGTTATCTTATGCTAGGATTAACCAAGCAATAACTGTGATGCAATTATTAAGGTTAAGGACCTTTTACTGGTGCACATATCAGGTTTTGAAGGTATTCATCCTGATTATTGTCAATTTACAGATCTAAGACACTTATTAGGAGTTCAGCCAACACAGCTCGAAGTTTCCTTGAAAGGGAACGTCTCAGGTTACGTATGTAACCCTGGTGCCCTGAGAGGGAACGAGAGCTGCGTTGGCTAACGCGATGGGAACGCTCTGCGAGATTGCGTCGTAAAGCGGCTGTACAATCAGTCCAATGAGAGGGTAGGAAGTCAGGTGATGTCATTGACCAGGAAACTATATAGCGCCCTTGAAATCAGACTGCGACAGCTTCTGAAAAGGCCTGAAGCAAGTCGATCAGGGCATGCAGGAAGTATGCTAGGCCTCTCAGGGAACCAGGGTTACATATGTTACCCGAGACGTTCCCTTTCAAGGGAACTTCGAGCTGTGTTGGCTAACGTGATGGGAACCCCATAGCCACTATGCCATGCTGAGAAATGCCCGTTCTGTGTGAAGTCCAATGTGCACACTAAAAAGCGAGCAACCTAGCCCCGGGAGTTGAGAGGTCTAGGTCATAGAACCTGACAACTGTATGCAGTGAGGACCACCCTGCTGCATTACAAACGCCTTGAAGGGAAACATCCAAAATTAATTATTATTAACTATTCTAACCTGATGTAGCCCTGACACACATATGACACAATAATGATAATGAGATTTCTCTTTCTGACGCTACAACTGCTTCTACTGCTCCTGAAACAGCCACGAAGGTGGCGGGAGCCGAACCGCAGACCGAACCGATGACGTGTTTACACAAACCGAGGCCTCGTTTGTCATTAGTCACGTGATTTTCACGGTAACAACACAAGCCTCGAATC